AAAATAAATAAAATATTTATATAGAATAAATAAATAGTATATTTATATAAATAAAAAAATAAGCAGAGAATATAATTATATGATAAACAAAATAAAAAATAAATTTTTTATAAAAAAAATAAAATTTTTTATAAAAAAAATAAATTTTTTTATAAAAAAAATAAAATTTTTTATAAAAAAAATAAAATTTTTTTAATTAAATTAATTAATTCGTTTATTTATAATAAATTAAAATATTTTCATCGACAGGGATGCACTGTGAGGGAGCCCCAAAGAGAGTGTGTTTATTGGTGGGGTTGTTGCTGCATGAGTACCCTGGGGGCCCCCGGGGGCCCCCAGGGGCCCCCACAGTCTTTGGGGGCCCCAGAGGGCCCCTGAGGCTGGATAGCTCCTGCTTGCTGCTGCTGCTGCTATGGGTGTTGTTGCTGCTCCTGCTGCTGCGGCTGTTGCTGTTGCTGCTACTGTTGCTGTTGCTGCTGCTACTGCTGCTTCTGCTGTTACTGGTGCTACCGCTAATGCTGCTGCTGCTGCTGCTGCTGCTGCTCCTGCTGCTGCTGCTGCCGGTGCGTAAGCAACCACTGCAGCAACTACAGTTCCGTTTGCTGCTGTGCACTTTCTTCTCTTTTCTTTCTCCTTTTTCTCTCTTATTATTTTATTTTATTTTACTTTATTTTATTTTATTTTATTTTATTTCGTTTTGTTTTATTTTATTTTATTTTATTTTATTTTATTTTATTTTATTTTTATTTAAACAAAACGACATCCCAGCATCACTTCGCCTATTGCCTCAAAAAACCAAATTGGGGGCCCCCAGGGGGGGCCCCCCAGGGGGGCCCCAGAGGGGCCCCAGGGGGCCCCTCAGGGGGCCCCTAGAGGGGCCCCTAGGGGGGCCCCTCAGAGCAAACCATTGCCTTCAGGGGCTCTCCTGTATACGGGGGGCCCCGTAGGGGGCCCCTGTGGGGGCCCCTCGATCAAGGGCCCCTTGAGAGGCCCCTTGGGGGCCCCTGGGGGGCCCCTTGGGCGTCTCCTGGGGGGCCCCTTGGAGGGGCCCCTGGGGGGCCCTTGGGGGGGGCCCCTGAGGGGGGCCCCTAGGGGGCCCCCTATGGGGGTCCCCAATCTGAGGGGCCCCTGAGGGGGGCCCTTGGGCCCCCCTAAAGGGCCCCCTGTGTGTGTATTTGTTTATATTTGTGGTTGAGTTCTTTTTGTATGGGGT